GCTTTGGGAGGGGGGCTTCCTCCCCTAGTTCCCATGCTAGTCCCCTCCTTATCCCAGCTCCCCTGTCCAAACAAGTACACCCTCCCTAGGGAGAAGACTACTCCTGCTCTGTGAGCTGCTGCAGCTGCTGCTATTGTCGCTGCTGCTGGTCTCGAAGTCATTTTTAACTTGACTGAGTGCCTGCTGTGTTTCAAGTCCCATAAGGCGCCCTAAGATCAGTACAAAAGAAATATACTGTCTGCCAGTCTTCTAAATAGTCAGCTCCTCTAGCACCTTTTCCAGAAAGGCTCCATCCATCCTCATGCAGGATTCAGGAATATAGAGACGCTGCGTAAAGAAGGGCTCATCAAAGAAGTGAAAAACAACAACCTCCAAAAAAAACCCAACAAAACCCAGAAATACACACACACACACACACACACACACACACACACACGTGAATAAGAGCTCACCCCCCCCCAAAGGCACCTCACTACTCTGTGGCATCGATTGATTGTTGTTATTGGGTCCCATCGAGTCTGAACCAACCCATAGTTAACGCTCCGTTGGATTTTGGAAACTGTCCATCCTCCTCCCAGGGAGCAGCTAGCTGGTGGATTTGAACCGCATGCCTTTGGATCGCAGTGCAGCTTCTTGCCACCAGGCTATATGTCCTCCGTCTCAGTCCATGGGCCATGTGTTTCTCCATATGATGAGAAAGGCCCTGTTCTCTCCACTGAAACTAGCATGGTACAAAAAAGTTTCTATTTGACTTCTCTAGTGAATGTAAGGAGAGAGCTCTGGTGGCCTAGTGGGTAAGGAGCTGCCGTGGCAACCCAAAAGCAGGCAGTTCAAATCCAACAGCTGTTCCCTGAGAGAAAGATGGGCAATTGCCTCATACCCACAAGTCATACCACGGTCAGCTATGAGTTGCTTCTAACTGAACAACAATGAGTTTGAAATGTTGATTTTTTTTAATTTTTATTTTACACATTGCTTGTCAGAATCAATTCCGTAGCAGTGCTAGAATTTGGGGTTTACGGCTCTCTTGGAGCCTTGGTGGCACAGTGGTTATGTGCTCAACTGTTTACCAAAAAGTCGATGGTTCGAACCCACCTAGTTACTCCACAGGAGAAAGATGTGGCAGTCTGCTTCCAGAAAGATTACAGACCTGGAAATTTTATGAGGCAATTCCCTGTCCCATAAAGTCACTATGAGTCAGAATTGATTCAAGGCAATGGGGTTTTGCTTTGTTGTGCTTTTAGGGATCTTTAGCTGTACAGTTGCTATATGGGAGCCAAGTGGCTCTAAGGACACGAAGCAGTCTTTTCCAGACCACATACAAACATCTTTTCGTCAAGGTTATTTTCACAGAAGCTAAATGAGTACAAAGCATTCCTGAGAAATAGATGTGGGTTTCAGGAGTTCTTGATGTTCCTGTTATGTACTATTGAGTCTGAACTGACCCACAGATGACCCTCCAGCAGGTGTTCACAAGCAGTAAATCACATGAGAGATTTCCCCTTCTTCTTGTACAGAGCAACTGGTAGATTTGAACTGCATACTTTTAGTCTGGCACCCCAATTCCTTACCACTAAGCCACCAGAGCTCCTTTTACATGAAAAACATGAATTAATTGAACTGTAAGGGGGTTTCTGGTGGCCTAGTGGTAAGAAATTGCGCTGCTATCCCAAAGGCATGTGGTTTGAATCCACCAGCTGCTCTGAGGCAGAAAGATGGGCAATCTCTTCCCATGATATTTACTGTCTCTGAAAATCCACTGGAGGGTCAGCAGTGGGTTGGTTCAGACTTGACAGCACACACCAAAAAGAGTAAACTGGACTGGGGGCAGGAAGAGATAGGCAGGCAAAAACTGAACACGGCAAAAGTATAACTTCACTTGGCCTTTCGAGACTTCACTCAGCCTATTGGGAGCTCACGGAGACTGACACGTAAGCCTGGCAAGTTTAAGATGTACATCTCTACTCTAGTAGGCACCTTGGCTTTATCTAGGACATATATCACAGATTTCAAAACCGTATCTATAGTGTAGGGCTGCTAATAATACCTGACACAGCATTCAGCCTGGCCCCTGGGGTGCCGAAGTTCTTTACAAAGGGCTTCCTTTTTTAACCTGCAGGAAGCATCTTTTCTTCCTTTGAAAGATGGGAAAGGGCAAAGGATCTTGGTTCCATTTCCTGGATAAGGAAACAGAACCTCTCAGCAGATTATCAAGTCCGAGAAGGGAAGGAGCAAGGACCTTCCTTCACCCCCCTGTACTCTCAAGACAGCTTGAAGCTTGATTTGGCTGGTTGGTTGGTTGGGTTTGGGTGGGAGCAGGGGGAGCCATGGAGAGAAGGGACCAGAAATCCTCAGGAGAAGGTAGTTGGACTCTTCACTGGAACAAACTGGGCACCTCCAAGAAAGTGGATTCTTTGGGATGCCAGGCCTGCAGGGTATTATCCAGAGGGACCTGGTGCTCACTGCTACCTTCTTCCTCCATCCTCCACCTCCCCTGCCCATCATGTGGATGGACTTTCCAAGAAGGCCTCCCCTAGTTCTACAGCTGTTTTGAAGATCACAACAACATGATGCTTCCAGCCTAATATCCTGACAGGGATCCAGAGAATTAACTGAGGGCAGGGTTTGACTCTCCTCCGAGATCAGGGGCATTCCCACCTCATCTCCCGTTTCCCTCAACAATCCACAGTGGATCTGTCTACTGTGACTCACTGTCTTCACTCTTTCGAAAGCTACTTGTATTTCGACCCTGTCACCCCTCTTTTGGAACTCATTCCTTAAGTGTGGCAACATGCCATGGCAGAGAGTAGTACACATGGGGTTGTTTGTTGTTATATATACCATTGAGTTTCCTGAGACCCATAGCGACCCTATGTACAGCAGCACTAAACTCTGCCCTGTGCTGAGCCAGTCTCACTGATTCTGACACACCAACTCCCATTGCCCCATCTTAACTGGGGTCTTCCTCTCCTATGCTGTCCCTCCACCCTTTCAAGCTTGATGTCCTTCCACGTGCTCAAAATATGTGAGACAGAACGTCAAAATCCTAGCCTCCAAGGAGAAACTTGCTTTCACCCTCTCCAAGACAGACCTATTTGTTTTCTTGGCAGTCCATGGTATGTTCAAAACTCTTTTCCAGCACCACAACTCAAAGACATTGATTCCTCTTTTGTCATCCTAAGTCATTGTCTAGCTCTCTGATGCATAGCAAGTAATTGTGAAGACCATGGACTGGATTGAGCACACCTTAGTCTCTAGACTGACATCATTTACTTTTCAGTACTCTGGAGAGATCCCTGACAGCAGATTTTGCCAGTGCAATTCGTCTTTTGATTTCCTGACTGCTAGTAGTGCCAAGATTGTTGATTGTGGAGCCAAGCAAGCTCTAATGGTTAACAACCTTAATCCCTTCTCCATGTATCATCGTGCTGCCAATTAGCGCAGTGGTGAGAATCTTTGTCTTCTTGATGTTGAGCTTCAATCCATATTGAAGACTACAGTCATTGACCTTCTTCGGCAAGTGTTTCAGGTCCTTTTCCGTTTCAGCAAGCAAGGTTGTGTCTTCTGCATAACATGGGTTGTTGATGAGTCTTCCTCCAATCCTGATGCCACATTCTCCTCAAAAAGCCCAACCCCCTGAGTGATTTGTTCTACATAAAGATTGAAAAGGTACGGGGACAGGATGCATCTCTGACACACACCTTTTCAGATTTTGAACCATGCAATGTTTCCCTGCTCTGTTCTGAGGACTGCTTCCTGGTCCAAGTATAGGTTTCACATAAGCACAATTAAGTGTTCTGGGATTCCCACTTTCCTCAAGTTTAGCCACAATTTGCTGTTATCCACACAGCCAAATGCCTTTGCACATTGGATATGTGAGCCAAAACATGAGCAGTTCAAATCCACCAGCTGCTCTTTGGGGGAAAAAGATGGGGATCATTTCTTCCCATTAAGATTTAGTCTCAGAAGTGGATGGGTTACTATGAGTGGGAATCAACTTGACAGCAGGGGAGGTTGGGGATTTATATAGAGTGGTATTTCTTTCCAGTTGCCTTAGTGGGACAAGCACTGACATGGAGATGTTCACCTCAGATCGCAGCTCTCCCATTTGCTAGCTGAGGAAATTGCCATCTTTTCTCTGAACCTTAGTCTCCTCATCTGTAAAATGGAGTTATTGAGATCTACCTTTCCTACCCATCTCACAGCGCTGCTCTCAAGAGAAAATGAGCTCTTTGATAGACAGACACCTTAAAAAGTACACAGGAGCCAGGCTGATGCCCCCCCGCCCCCCCCCCAGGTATTCACTTTCTTTGAATGCATCTCTTTGCTCCTAGGGAGCTATTGGTTCCCTGATTCCCAGGTCTGGGGAATCACGCTGTGCTCACTCTCTTCATCACTGAGTTTTACACACTCTGGTCACATCGCTTCCCAGCCTTCATCTTTAGACTAAAGAGTCTGCGTTTATTGAATGTCTTCTTAAAGCATCCCCCTCTTCCCCGCCCTTTCCCATCCTCTTGATTATATAGTGGCCCTTGGATCATCTCCAGCTCCATTATGTCATTTTGGAAGCACTATGACCCGACCTGTACGTGTGTGTGTGTGTGTGTGTGTGTGTGCTCCCCAGCTCTGAACCTCTGACTTTGCCCCTCCCTAGTTATAAATCCTAGAGCAGGATGTTTGCCCCAAAACCTCTCTCCAAACTAAGAAGGTAGCCCACCAGCCCCAAGCTGAAGCGTCCCTCTCTTTTGCTGCGCAGCCCTGGCCCCAAGGGCCTAAAAGGCTCCCTGTCTGGCATGGAAAGCTGGGAGGTGGATAACTAGGGTGAGGGGGGTGGAAAGGAGGTGGGGGGGGGGTCTTGCGCAAGCGCAGGCTGCTGCACCGACCGCCAATGCCGCCGCCTCCCGGAGCAGAAGGAGGCAGGAGAGGAGGGAGGGAGCCGAGAGGAAGGGAGGGGGAGGCTGCACTCGGGCTGCAGCTCCAGAGGCTGTCTCTTGCTCAGCTCTTGGAAGGACTCGAAGAGACAGCCACAGAGTAGGATGCTCTGCGAGGCGTCCTGAGCCAGGGGCGCGAAGCTGTTTCAGAGGCCAGGGCAACCCTGTTTTCATCATGCATCAGTCTCTGACTCAGCAGCGGTCCAGCGACATGTCCCTGCCAGATTCCATGGGTAAGTCTAGCCTCTGGACTCCAGAGCGCTCTGGGAAGCTGGGCCGGTGGGGGGCCGTCCGCTCCCATAGCTGGGGTGGGGGTAGGTGGACTAGAACCCCAGGGGAACATCCAGGCAGGGGACCTTGCGCAGGGACCACTGCGCCCAGCTCGCATCGGTGCCTCCCTGACCCGAGCGTGTGCTTGAGTGTTGGTGTGCGTGTGTCTGTAGACTTGCAGCTGGCCTTAAATCCCAGCTGTCTGGGGACCAAAACACTTCCCTGTAAACTGCGCCTTTGCTTGCCAGGCGACACTCCCTCTTTGCAAAGTCCCTGTCACTGGTCAGGGCTCAGGCTCCTGAAGAGGAGCGGTTTCCTTGCTCCTTTCTCGCGTAACTCTTAAGAAGCTGCCTTGAAATTTAGAGGTACAGTGGTGGCTTGGGGCTGACTTGCACATCGCTGAATTTAAGGGGACTGCGCGATCCTGGGGTGGGGGGGGGCGACTAAAGGAAGGGTCCCAGGAGGGGAATTCCTAAGAAGTCCCGTCTACTGTGGCGGTATCAGCATGCCTTGGATTTGATTTCCACCCTGCTCCAAAAGCACATAATGTGCATGAGTGAGAAAGGGGGGGGGGGAGTGCGAGCGCGAGAAAGGGGGCCAGAGCAAGCCCGCGCATCTTCTCAGACCGTGTTTGTCCACTCCAGCTGGAACTAACCTTATTTGGCTCTACACCTTTCTTCACCCAAACTGAGGGTCCAAGCACCAACCTGACTGCTCCTCAAAGCCGCTTTTCAGTAGTTATGAACAGAAAACCTCTTCAGCCCCCCTGAGCTGTTAGGCACCTTCCCAAACTCTATGATTTCACTGGACAGAGAAATTCATTGGGAGCCCAGGAGAGCCGGAGGGGGTGATCAGACGGTGATTTCACCTAATCTGACAATTCGCCTTGGCCACACTCTAACCAAATCGATTTCTCCCTTCCCCAAACAGTAGCCATTCTGCAAAAATCCCACCGTCCCCAATGCTGGCCATCCAACGTGTGCTGGTCGGCTGTGAGGAATTTGGGGGAGCAGCTGGGGGGTGTGGAATAGGGAAGACAGTTACACACACACACACACACACACACACACACTCCCCCCTCCCCATTGTGGGCTGCTCGCTGCCTGCAAAAGACTCGTTCTTAAGAGAATTGGTTCCCAGGAGGCCCCAGAAAATATTTTCTCTTGGACAGTGGAAAGACCCGTATTTTCAATGATCTTGCATCACTCGGTAGAAGAATTTGCTTTTATTTTTAAGGGCGTAGTTATTTGCAATGTGGTGCAAATGAGGCCAAGAACTCTGGCCTGAGCGCTGAACAATAATGGACTTCCCCTTTCCCCATCTAACACAAACACACACACACCCTTCCCCCATCTAACACAAGCGCGTGCACACACACATACCCACTCTTCCCTCTCTCTCACACACACTGCACTCTTCACCTTGGCCAGCTGTGGCGCCAGCGCACCCCTGACTCCAGGACTCCAGGCTGTGGCAGGAGAGAGGATCTGAGTGGGAGGGAGCAGGGTGCGAGGGTTCCATAGCACCCCTCCCAGTGCAGACCAAAACCAGTCGTCATCGTTGTCCCTGTCCCCACTTCAGCCTCCCCTACCTGCAGGGGGTGAGCAAGATAGTGGCCCCTAGCTTCAAGCGTTGCCACTTGGAAGAGAGTTCTTCCTTGGGCTCCTCCCTGGAGCGCTCAATCTTGCGTTTCCCAGAAAGATCTAAGCAACCAGATATCCAGTGGACTTCGCCCAGTCCAGGTGCAACACCGCGAGCGAGAAATCATCTTAGATTCCGTGTAGGGGCACAGCCCCAAGCCTCGCCTTCTGCGGTTTAGGGTCGTCCGACTAAGGGCACTAGTACACTTCGGAGTTGAGTCGTAATCTGGGCTTTCACAGTTCCGACAGGAGAGTCTCCCCGGAGTTCCCTGGCGCTTGTCCCACCCAGCCCAGGCCTGAATCAGCGTCTAGGCTACTTAGGAGCTACTCCCACTTAACTCAGCTCTGGCAAAGCCACCTTTCTTGCGTGGGGCGGGGGTGAGAGGGGATGGTGTTTCAGTATCCGAGCTCAGCACTTCTAAGGGGATTCCCTCTACTGGCAAGAAACAGCCGCAGCCAAAATAGTCAAATGGAAAACGCGCGCGCGCGCACACACACACACACACACACACACACACACACACTCACACACACACACACACTGCTCGCTGACTGCCGTGGGGCAGAGAGTTTATTCAAGGCAGGAGTTTGGCAATTCGATAAAGGTAATTAGATAACAGCGCCCCTCTGTCACCTGTTTGCAACCCCATTCTCCCTTTTGCCAACACCGCCCCCAGGCGCTGAGGCATCTCTACTGCAGCAGGACGTGCGTGGCTTCGCTCCCGAATAACACCTTTGTAATTTGCCTGTGGCCTGAGATGCCGCCATTCAAAGAATTGACTAGAAGGGGGAAGATGGGGAGAAGGTGGACGACTTCAGCTCCCTTGAAGACACTTTGGGACAACCTTGAAGACAGATTGGGCCTTAAGGCTCCATCTAATCACACTGTGTAGACAGCCACCTGTTTCTCGGAATGCTTAGGACTGGGACTTCCTGGGCTCTCCTCAGGTAAGGAAGGGGAAACTAATCAGTTCAAAACATCAGCCCGAGAATTAGCCAGCCATCAGTGACAGAAGGTTCGGTGACCAGTTACCGGGTCTCTATCCTTGTGTACCCCAATAGAGACTAACCTCTCTACGCTGTTCAGAAGGGTAATGAAGAATGTGCACACGGACAAACACCCGTAAATAGAGACAATTGTCCCACCTGCTGGCAATCCACACCTCGGTTACTATCATATCTTGAACAACCTAGACCAGGGATCATTGTATGACCATGGAACAGACCCCTCCAATGACAATTGCAATTATAACAGTCACAGTGCACGATTGAACAAAGTGTCCTGGAACTCGGGGAGGGAATCACATAATGAACGCCTAGAGTGAACTTAATCAAGCCAGACTTCCTGGAGGAGGGGAGTTCTTCAGAAGAAGAGACGGAGGGACTCAGGTTCAAAACACTGCAGTGCAGAGCGTGGGAGGCAGAGAGACGGAGGAGGGGGAGGGCGAGACTTAGTCCAGGGAGAAGCTAATTGTACTAGGAAAGGTAGAGTCGGGAAATAATTGGGCGCTTCTAGAGCCTAGCGTCTGGGGCACCCCGCTGGGGTGGGGTTAGGACACTGCAGTGACTCTGCAGGGTGCCTGTTGGGGGTGGGGATGGAGGAGAGCAGGCAAGACCTATGAGGAGATCTCTCGGGTTTTCCCACTGGTAAGCAGGTCCCTGAGGAGGCATCAGAATTGTGACACTGGTTGAATAGAATGGTTTGCGTCCCGGTGCCCCTAGTTACACCCTATTTCAAACAATCAATTTTATGAGTGGAGTTACTACTTATCCATATCATCCCCCCATCTTTTTTTTTTATTAGAAGGAAAGCAATATAAACACGTTGACTCTTGGTCATTCAACAAGTATTCACTGCTTACTAGATATCTAACACTGTGCTGTTCCTAGATATTTGTTTTTAAATACCTGCTGCTTTATTTAAAGTTCCTCCTGGGTGAGCTGTTCAATATGTTTGTAGCCTAGATAAAATCAAAATGAGAAAAAAATTAAAAAAATCAAAATGAGATGGTTCTGGGTTTGTGGGAGCATCTAGGGAAGCCCCCAGATGCACCCTAATAAGATCAGGGATCCCCTTCTCCCTCCCAAAACAGAAGCAGCCTCCAGGGAAATAGCCCAAGAAGACCCAAGATGCTTTAAACATTGTAGGCTGCCACTAAAGAGCCTGGGCCACGCCTCCCCAGAGCAGGTGTGTCATGCTCTAAGTAGATGTTAATTTCATGAAGTCACAGTGACACTCAAGATAAACTGAGGGGCGGTGCTTCACTTTTCAAAAGGATTTACACTAGCGTTCCTTAAAATAGCCAACTCTCCAAGGGCAACAGAAATTAATTTCATTTTATGGGACTGTGGTTGCTGTAGTATAAAAGAAGGGATACTTTAGGGGAGGGGGACAGAGGATAGATATTCAGCCCAGCAGTGGGAGACTCTTGTCTGGAGGTAAGACCCCAGTGAGGCAAGAGGATCTTTGCTGAGTTTCACAGCTGACTGAATATGTCATTCCGGTTCTAAAGTGGAGCGGGGGATGGGGGGGAAGAGATTTTTCAAATGACACCATGTGGTTTGCTGAGTCACTTTTCTGGTCCAGCTCCTGAGCTTTTAAGGGGTGAGAGTGATATTTGCAAAGGAGACCCAGGTGCTGTGAATCAAAATCAAAGGCCAGTTGGCAAGGAAGAGTCAGGAGAGGGATACCCCCAAAATTCCAAAGACCCTTGTCTTTGCACACACGATTGCCTCCAATTGCTAAAGGCTATCTGTTTTTCATTAGGTGTGAAGACACTTGTTTGTGTCATGAAGATGCCTTTGATGCATCCAGATGTTCTGAGGTTGTTTCACCCTCTTTTGACATTTTGGGGTGTTGTTGGTGACATGGGAGAAAGGAAAATTAAGAAGATAGGAGGGTGTACTAGTAAGTTCACGTAGGAGCCCCTCTATGAAAGTGACCGGCAGAGCCCTGGTGGCGCAGTGACTAAGCGTTCAGCTGCTAACAGAAAAGGCAATGGGTTTCCTCTCCCCAGGGGAAAGAGGTGACAGTCGGCTTCTGTGAAGATCCCCTGTCTTGGAGACGCTATGGGACAATCCTGTTCTATAGGGCGGCTGAAGGTCACAACCAACTAGGTGTAATAGATGTTTTGGGTTTATGAAACCAATTCACTGTGAAATCGCTATCAGCGAAAAGCCTTAGGGACCTAGTTTAGGGGCTCATTGAGGGTCTTTCCACAGGAACGATAACCAAAAGGTCATTGCTCTGGTAAACGGAAGATGTAAGTGCTGCCTCCTCCCCACCCCTTGCCCCCCATACCCAGTCCCCGCTTCTCTTCCTTTCTGAGCACCTCACAGCCCCATCTTCAGTGCTGTTCAAGATATTTACCTTCAGTCAGTTCGCCTTGTGCATCCCTAATAGGGCTTTGGCGCACAAAGGGCCCTGATGTTACAGGTGTCTCTGGCAGTCGTTCAGGTTTGTCCCTAAGAAGGCTAGGCTCAGGCCTCCTGGGAGAGGAGCCTCGCTTGCCAGCTCTCCTAATGTGTCCTCCCAAGAGTGGAAAGTGACTTTAGTTTGTGGGTGCCTGTAGATGCTCCCACCCCTTCTCCACAGCCACGTAAAAAGGTCCCGGTATAGCATTGTGTTAGAAATGACCCCGATGAGTCACGTCCCTCACTTTCCAGGCTGACGTCAGGGGAGAGACCGGCAGCCCCTCCCACATCCTTTGGAACCCTCTGCAGGGACCACGCTGGGCTAGACAAAATGGATGGTGGGGCCAGCCTGGGCTGGGGGGGGTGGGGTGGGGCTTGATGCTTTTCTTCCCTATGGGCAGGGGAGATCTTTGGGGGACAAGGGACGGGTTGGCACAAAGCCAACCATAGCCCCGCCCTCCCATCACCACCGAGCCTCCCCCAGCTCTTTCCCCATCCCCTCTCCCCTCCCTCTCAGTGGCGCAGTCTGGGCGGCCCCTCTAAGGCAGCTGCTTCCACAGAGGCTGCAGCGAGGCCTCCAGCAAGGACAGGATCTTCTGAACAGACCCAAGTGATCTTTTTAGTCTCATAAAGGACAGTCAAGTCACCTAGGCGGGCTGCCCACCCCCTCGAAAGGCTCCCTACTGCTTCATCCTCCTTCTCCTTCCCGCCTGTCCCAGGTCCCCAAAGGGAGAATGGACTCTCCTAGCATTTTCCATTTGCTTCTTTTTTTATTCAAACTCCAAAGTGGCAGCTCTCCCTCCTGCGGGTGTCTCTAGTAGTGAGTTAGCCCCCCGCCCAACTTAAATGTGTGCAGAATGTGAAGCTAAGCTTGATGCTGCTAAAAAATGAAATTGAAAAAGTGAGATTTAGGACAGATACTGCATAACACCACTGTTATAAAACAGGACTGACATGGGGGTTGGGAAACTAGGAAAAGAGGGGATAGATCAGGAACACTGCATCTGGAACAGATGAGGGAAGGAGTTATTTAAAAGAAATCTGTGATTAGGCATTATTTGTATGACAACAGTCCAGAATAAGAGGTGCATTGCTTGGAGGGCTGGGGGAAGGGGAGGGAGGAAATTGTGCAAGGAAGAATGAATGTTTTTTACAAAAGAAAGTTAACTGGGGGAGGGGGAAAGGGGGAAAGAGGGAGGAAAATATGCAGCAGTAAATGAATGAAAAATTAAACTTTTTTGTAAATTTTCATTAAAATAACAATTAAAAAATAAGCTTAGATACTGGGAGGGTTTTTTTCTACCTGACTTAATAGGCCTGTTTTCGGGGAGGTGGGGGATATTGGTTTGCACTACCGTGTCTGAGAAGCACTGAGTAAAATGAGTTTTTAATCATTTATATTTGTGTCACCTTCACATAAGCCTAAAGTGTCACTAAGTTATGTTCCTCCCTTATCTATCTCCTCTGATACATATCTTTTCCGACTAATGTCCTCCAAAGACTCGCTTTATTACACACATTTGTTATGTGACAAATCCTGCCAGCATGCCATTTGAAAATTTATACACGAGGTGGCAAATGTCAGAAATAAATGGGGAAAAAAAAACCCAAAACAACAAAACCACAAAAACCCAAACCCAAAAATCCCAGGACTTGGCCTGGTGTTGATATTTAAACTGACAATGAAATTTCCTATCTCCAGCTTATGAAAGTGGGGGGGGGGAATCCATAATTCTTCTCGGTTGCATATCAGCTTGATAAGAATTTAATAGCCCACACATAACGCGTCCTATTTCTCATGCGCCTTATAAATTGGCCTGAGAAAGCTCACTTCTAAGTGAGTCTGACATATCTTTTCTAGAACGTTGGAAGCACAAAGATTTGTTTTGATATTTTACTGGTGGAATTTTTTTCTGTTGTGTTGTTGAATTATTCTTTTCCAGGTAGAAATCTCTTCCCCCCCCCCTTTCTTTTTAAAGTAGCTCTTGGTGAAGGCAAAAGAAAGCCCCATTAAAGCCCCATGTTTCCCCATAACTTAACTCCCCAGAGACAAGTCACTGAGCAGTAGGAGGAGGAAAGGAAAATCTTCTGGTGAATTCTTTTTTGTTGTTGTTGTTTTGATGTTGTTTTATTTTTTTTATTTTTTTTTTTCTTTCCTTTCC